TGAAAAACTTTCAGGGAGCCGTACGCGTTACCCGTGGGTACGGGGAAGCTGAATTTAAATGCGGGGTCACACGTGGGTGGGGAACGTTCCCCTAAATTTTCAGCTTCCTAGCTCTTGTGGTTCCCGAGTTGAAAGCTGCGGACAAGTTGCTGCAGACACACACACACACACACAAACACATACAGACAACCCCGTAACAATATGCGATTTGTACTGCTGTTACACAGCACAAAACGCATAATGATAGTTTTGCATGAAAATCTGCAACTCTATGTAGCCCTTCACGTAAAATGTCATCGATGCGAAACCTAGCATGTGATGAAAATATTTGATTTTGAGATTTGCTTTTGAACAACCAGTTTCGTCATTAATTTATTGCAGTCCGAGAATAGAATCTTTTGAACAATCATATAGCGCATATGCATATCAATGTGCTAACAGTGATTGTCTCGATAAGTTCTTGTTTCTGTTGGATCCTCATACGCTGTCGGTGGTCCGACAGTCGACAACACCTGAAGGATGCCGATGTGCTGCAACCTGCAACTCATTTCTTGCAGTAAAATTTGACTGATTAAGTTTAAATAATTGTCCTAATGAAGGTCCAGAGAACTCGGAAAAGGACGGTTGTTTCTGCCTTCATCGTACTTTCAGAAACTGTAAAAGCAATAAGAGTAGGAAAGAAAATGGAGCAAATTAAAATCAGTGATGTCAGGTTTGTCCGAATGAGATTTGAGTTGTGCTAAAGTCTAAGTGTTGCTCTATACTCTAAAAGCTGATCGGTCTCAGAGAAAAGCACACTTAGTAGAAGTGCTTCAGGCTATTTCATTGGACACGACTGTTGGTGGTGCATTGACTTCCTTCAGTGTTTGAAGGTGATTGTGAGAGGTTCGATCCCCTCATAGCTTATACTCTAGAAAGGGGCTTACTGTCAGCGAATAGTGAGGAACAGTACGAAACTTGCCTAGGTGAAACGAAAACGAATTGGTATATCGTTTATAGATCAGTTTTTGCACCCTTACCAATGCTAATCTTCCGCTAACGAAACCTTCAATGATTTCCAGTTTGGAATTTTGGGATCGAAGCAAAATTTAATGTGCTATATACGACTAGCCAAAATATCCCGTACAGGGTACCTTTTGCTAGACCGGATTGAATTCAGATGCACTAGAAAGTCACGTAAGCTTCACTTAAATCCAAGTGGAGATGCGCACCATGGTTTCTGGTGCGATAATGCATTTTTGTAGCCTGGAATTTGTTACGTCCCTTTGCGAGACCTTTTCGCGTTCTACAGAATCAGGTACTACTCATAAAATTTTAGCTTTTCTGCTTGCTTGCTTGTCGAGACACTAGGAGTAGGATGGCAGCACTGCAGTTTGAACTTTTAATGTGTATGTACGCGAGATTTTTCGTGTAAATTTTTGGTTTTTTATATAAATTTTATACGGTTCCTTTGCTGCTAGTTCTGTAGAAAGCACATACACTTCCTCTGCTGTTGGTTCTGTAGTAAGCAGTGCCAAATTGCACAGATCGATTATGGTACTTGGCATCACTATCCTGTCCTTGTAGCATTGTTGTTAATAACCGTTTGTTTCGCAGACCACTTGACAACAAATTTTGGTGGAGCACTCTGGACACTTCTGCCATTGTTCCTGCAGCCTAATTTTTTATATAAATTTTTGCAGTAAGTGAAGGGACCCATTGTAGCAAAGAGACGAAACGAAATGGTAACAAAGTGAGTGAAAACGAGAAGGTACAGCTAGTGTATTTGTCCAGTGACTCAGTACCAGAACTATGAAGCTAAGAAGCCCAGTGCGAGGTCCCTCTCTGTTCTATGCTTTCATGCCGGTTAGCCCTAAAAGATGGTAATCCATTCCATATGATATCAGAACGCAAGGCAGTTTGAAACGAGCGTAAAAGCATCCTGTGTGGACGATGTGTTAGGTATGTGTGTGCAGGTGTGTGTGTTTGTTTGCTTGTGTACAAATGTGTAAATGTATTCGTATTTACGAATGAACATGTTAATTTGCATAAGAGCACGTTTGTACAAGCGCATGTGTATGTATGTGTACCCGCATTCAACAAACGAACTCAACTTTGGTAACTCAGATTAGTTGATGAAAAATTGGACAGATTTGTACATATCAACGATTTTAGTGAAGAATGGTGCACATTTATATCAGTCTATGAAGGAAGTCGAAACAAATACTTCAAAAAGTGGTTAACGTACATTCGATATAAATATATATATATATATATATATATATATATATATATATATATATATCC